AAGCTGGTTCAATAAAAGAAATCCTTGCCTCTTGCACATTTACTAGACAAAGACAGGCACAGAGAGTCAGAGTATAAATTATATTGCATGAACAAGTAAAATATTCAGCTGAAATAGCAAAGTCCAAAATAGCTGTTCAAAAATAGAGAGAAAAAAAACTACACTCCTCAGTTACTGCTCACTTTAATCACAAATGGTGCATTTCCAATTATCATAATTTACCAATATGCACAGAAAACATTTGCTGTTGCATTTTGAAACACAGTAAAATTTCTGTTATCCAGTACTTCACCAACCAGTCTATTAACTGGAGTTTCCGGCCAGCTAGCCAGACACGGGGGGGTGAAGAGGGCAGGAAGCTTGCATGCCGCTGCCGCCACCCATCATCCTGTGCTGCCGCTGCTCCATGTGCACCTGCCCCCACACTCTGCGTTATCTGAAAACCCTGCCCGGTTATTTCAGATAACCAGAGTTTTTACATAACTGGGGAGTCCCCTTACCCTGGGGATGCCAGATAACAGAGATTTTACTGTATATTGTAAGTCTCCTTTGCTATGCCCAAAACACACACACAGATCCCAATAAAAAACTGTAACCACTTTTAAGATGTATCTCAATAAGCTTATGAAAGGGACTATACGGCTTTGTTGTCTGTGATGGCAAGGGTCTGAACCTGACGACCCAACCTGTCTCTTCCAGTCATGGGCTGTTATATTCTTCCTAAAATGAAGCATTCACTTGGTGTTCATCTTTCTTTTTGCGGCCCATTTTCCGACTTAAAGCCCAATGCTTGTTGCCAGAGTTCTCCTCTATGTGCTTCTTTGGCAAGGCATATATTATAGTGCTCGTTACAAAATGGAAACTAGCAAAATAGATTATGAGAAAGCAAGTTGTTAGGAGCCTTCAAGGTCTATATATATACACACACAGAAATCTGATATACAATACATACATACATAAATATATATATAAATCTGATATACAATACCTACATATATAGAGAGATACCTATAGACATTGTATATCAGATTTCTCTGTCTTCCATTTCTGCTACAAACTTTTTGGATCATGCTTGTCACACTCATCTGAAAAGAGCCTAATATATGTTTGGTTATACATGTGTTCATCACCATTTGTGATTAATGCACAAGCATTCATTATACTAGTGAAGTAAAAGGTAGAGCACAAGTTGGGGATTTTTATCACATGCTGATGGTGTATTCAGTGGATAAATTGAAGTGTGATGTGTTTTCCATTTTGCTCAGGGACATGCCATATGGTACAAAACGCTGCAATTCTCACACATTTTGCATACGGAATTTACATGCTTTTCTGCCTGTCGAAGAGTTAATCTGATAAATATAAAATATGCCAGATTTTCAGTATCAGATTCTGCTTTAGTGGATGCATTTTTGCATCCATAAATAATTACTCTTAAAAATTTTCTCTGGCAATGAATTCCTGGAGCTAGGATTAGTAATGATATCTATGAGCAAACATGAAAACTGGTTGAGACTTGGTTGAAAATCTGGTCCCAGGTATTTCATGAAAAATATTGATCAAATTAATTATCTTGCTGGTGAATGTATGGATAAAGGAATCTAGTTATACGCCTGTGCAAATAGGGAAAACAAAAGTCCTGTACTCACTGGCTGCAGCAGCGGTGATTGGCAGATGAGGCAGTGGGGATCACTCCTCCCCAACCTGCTTGGCACCCGCATGGCAGATGCCTCATGGCACAGGTGGAGTGTGGCTTGGCAGGGTGCTGTGTGCTGCCAGGGAGCTGGGGCTGCTGCAGCTGAGCACTGCTAGGCTGCGGCTGACTGCTTGAGCCACTTGAATTCCCAGGCAGTGTACAGTGCCCTGCTGAGCCATGCTGCACCCACGCTATGGTGCAGCTGCCGAGCAGGATGGGAGGCGATCCCGGGGGGGGGGGGGGGGGGGGTGGCTCCTAATAACCACTGCCAGAGCTGGTGAGTGTGGGGCTTTTTTCTTTTTTAAGTGCCAGGAGGATGGGCCAGGTTGGGGGATGGGACTGGGCAGGGCAGCCATGGAGGTTTCTCCTGTGGCTCCTCTGGCTGTGCCTGCCTCTGCCCCAGCAGGGGAGCCGCGGGGGCTATGTTCTACGGCCGCTTGCCCAACCAGCGTGGGGTGGGAGGAGGGGGCACAATGCAAATGCAGCTTGCTCTGGGAGGAAGCAGGGCAAAGCCCCCACTCCCAGTGCTGCTGTGCCCACTGGGGGAGCAGGGGCTCTGCCCTGCCACTGCTTGCTAGTTGGTGCGGGGGGTGTGGAATGTGGGCACAGTAGCACTGGAAGTGGGGGCTATGCCTTGCTGCTGCTTGCCCTCTTCTGCCTGGAGTGAGCTGTGCCCTCATCCGGATCCGGATGCAGTAGTGCTGGGAGCTGAGCCCCTGCTCCCAGCGCTGCTGCATCTGGATCCTGAGCCCCCACTGGATGGGCAGCTTGTGCCAGCCCCAGCCCCAGCCCCAGCCCCAATTCCTCCCTTCCCTATGCCTCTTCTGGATATCAGCAGTATTTTGCTGACAGAACAATTTGGGGGCATTTTGGTGGCAGGGAGAATTTTATAGAGGGTTGCACATGCAGCAGTAGCAGCAAGAAGCAGCACCAGGACTAGCCCACCTTGGGATTGAGCTGCATTATTTCAGCCTGCAGCTTCAGAAAGGTTGCTAACCCCTGACATGTTGCCTTAGAGTTATCAGCAAGATATAGACACACACACCCATGGTTCCCATACTATCTCATATTAAAACATAAGATCAACTAGTATGAGAGGCCAATGAATTGGGTTAAACAGGCTTTTTATGAATTTACAAGAACATTATACTGCATATCTGTATAATGTACCTCTTGGAAGAAGAGGCTGTAACCCAGCCATATGCATGAGTTGCACCCTTTTCTGGTATTAAAGACATGTGGATCTACAACCAGAACTGAGTCCCTCATTAGCAGTAGGGAAACAAATTTGGCAAACCAATTCAAACTATACTTGTGCGTTAATTTTAAAATCATACTAGTGCAGACTGTGATCATGCAAACTAAGTAAGGCCAAACCAAGAGTTGGGCTGGAAATCTTTAACAAAAGTTAACATAGTACAGTAATTGAGGCTGGTGTTGCACTATACCCTTCGGTTCAAGACTGGGGGTTCAGTATGTGGATGTAACTACTATAACTTAAATAGCACCTTAAATGCAAATCATTTTAAAAACATGCACAGAAGCATTAACTGTATTCAAAAAACTTTACAGTATGTTGCTAGAAGTGCATTTTTTCAGATGAGGATTAAAACAGCGGTAAGAACTATGTGTGGTCATTGAAAGATCATCTTTTGCAAGTAGCATCAGTTCTGGCCATTTAAAAAGAAAGTGTAATTACATTCTGCTTCCCCAACTCTCCCAGAGGCTTCAATGGGAACAGCTGAGCATTGTAAAAAAAAAAAAAAATCTCTCCGTGTATATATGTCTGTGACCTATATCTATATATAGCGTGCACATGCAAGCACACACATTCTTGGAGTATTGTTGCACAATTTATACTTAGAATTTTCATGAACTGCAGTTCTCTTAAAGTACGCATACTTGAAAACACAAAGTTTGAAAAAAAGTGTAAAGAAAAATTGTTTTCCATTGAATGCAGATCTAAAATTGTATTTTCATTGAAAGCAAGTTGACCTAGATAGTGAAATGTAGAAAAGGTATCTAAAGGTAAAGAGCTAGCTAAGCATGTATTCTATGTACTTCCAGATGAGCATACCCACACGAAATCGAAATACAGATGAACTGATTAAGGTATGATATTCATTTTACTTTAGCATTGGGTGGCAGAGTCTCCCATAAGCAAACGTGCAAAACATGTCTTCAGAGAACTTTTACAACATCTCAAGTGCATAACGACAGTTAAAGTGCATCCTTTCTAATAATGACATGGTCTACATTTGGTATGTACTAATAAACTTTAAGACAACTTAAATTCCACATTTTAATATTAGAAATCCATTTAATTATAAGTAATCTTCATCTCTGTATGCCACCTGTATTTGCATTTATATTCTGCAGTGAGACCGCAATATAATTTTTTGTTTATTGTCATGGGTATGCTTCTACTGTAAATCTACAATTTTATGTAGGCACTGCTGGCACATGGCCAAACCCATGATTAAGTATCTTATACAGCACACCAAAAGAAAATGTCGGTATGAGTAAAAAATGTTCCACATGCAGGGCTAGGATGTTAGCCTGAACAAGTATTATCTGTTTACTTGTATTGACATCCTTTGTATGGGCTCTTTTAGAAACAAAACTGAGAAAAATGTTCTCCCTCCCTGCCCCAGCATTTCTATGGGTATTTACTAGTTTACTGGAAAACTATTTATTAGTTTACTGGTTTTTATTTTACTTGGAAGTAGGGAAGCTATCAAAATAATCTAGTTTACAAAACTGTAGTCTATTCAACACGAAGGAACAAGAGTCCAGGTAGAATATATTGATTTTAAAAATGCTGCCTGTGTAGATTAATTTTCTTTTATAGGCTATTACTATTGGTAAAATATTTACACTGCACATGCCAAATATTGCTTGGAAATGAACATATGTGCTGCTATTACTTTTTGATTTTCTTTGTCTTTGAAACACTGCTGTGGTGTTGGGTTGCCTCCACTTTTCTCTCTATTCCTTGTTGTCACACACACTAATTGGCCTAATAACAGGCAAAACCAAGAATTTATTACACCTTGGGCAATACTTAAAACAAACTTTATTTGCTGGAGCAGCACTTTTTATCTACTTGCTGCTGTATATTTTGACACTCCCTCTAAGTGCTAAATTTGACTTTATTAAAAGTTAAATCACCAAACTCCCTTTTTGTGATTGCTGCTGCTTTTGCATTTTCTGAGGCAGACTTGTACATATATAAACATTTCATTTTAATGAAGCTTTAGGAGATACAAATTTAAGCCATGACTATAAGTTCTTCATTACTGTCAATCTAAAAGCTGCATGAATAAAAAATAATAATAAAAATAAACCCACAATCCTAATACTTTGAAAAAGTAGCCTTGGGATAATAACAGTGACCTGAGAGAATAATGGTAGGAGCTGGGAGCTTAAATATTGTGTGGTGGGGTGGTCCTTGGAGTTTTGTATATTTTTCTAAATATCTAGATATTTTTGGGTTTAATGGTTTGCAAAAGGAAAAAAAAGTGTTAGACTTCACTGCAAACTGCATTCTGCCTTTTAATTTACATTTTATTCATATAGAAGATGGTAAAATGATCAAGGAAAGTGTTTCCTTTAAATAGTTTTTAAAAAACAGCAATGCAAATCCCCTGAAATTGTTTATGCAGGAATTTTTATTCTTTTAAATCTTCCAGTGTTAAAGCAACAAGAAAACATTTAGAATGTCCTTTGGTGGAATCTTATTACACTTGTTATATATGTAAACTGATATTCTTTGATGCCAGCACGTTGCCCATACAGAGAAATCTCTGCACAATTAAATGAAAGGAAAAAAAGGACCAAATAAAAAGTAATATTTTTTCATATCTGATTAGAATGAAATACATTAACAAATTGTCTGGTAACACAAATTGGCAATAATACAAAAAATCTACATTGTACATTAGTTCAAGAAAAATAACTTCATTTGAATACAAAAGGATAAATACACTTTTGTCCTATAGCCACTCTTGTACAATAGGTGAACACAGCATCTTAATGATGCAGTGCTGCTAAGATATACAAGGATATGACTGGCTTGAGTTTTATTGAGGGGGCTGTTACACGTGTGCATCACTAACATCAGACAAAGAAATCTTTCAACCAACAAGGGTTACAGAGCAACATTCACTAAAGCACAGGTTGGAAAGGATTCAGGGATTGAAGCAGGCCAATATGGCAGCTTGAACAGATTTCCTTATACCCACAATGCACTGACAGCAAAGAATGCCTCTATTTGGTTGGTCCACACACTGGGCAGAGGTACAGTAGCGCACCATATTGGAGTAGCAAATGTTTTTATTTTCCATTTTGGGGGCTGTCAAAGCCTTTTCAATCCTGTGTAAGCTTTGCAGCTGGCATTGTGATTTGCAGTAATAGAATTGGCAGCTGCTAACTTGTCTTGAGTCAGAAATTAACAGTCTTGACTCAGAGCGCTGTCCACAATTAATTAATATGGCTTAGTTCAGTTAGGCCTTCTTACTTTATATGTGGTTTTTTCTGTTTCTTTTTTATTTTAGTAGCAAATGCTTGGATTCTATTTTGCTTTCATGTGGCACATTCCATTTGAAGCAGTCTGAACACGATGCCATCGACCATATGGGGTCTAGAATATGAAAAGTCCAGTTACTCCTAGTAGAGCAGTCAGCAGTAATAGAGGGCCATGTGATATTGCCCTCTGGGCCGAATTTTGGTTGCAGCCTCCTGGATCCCTTTCACACTTCAACTTCTCACATAAAATGCCAGTATAAGCTGGAGGGCACTGGCATCGCACGTTGTTGATGCATGTTCCTCCATTCTGGCAATGTAGTAGTTCATTGTCACATACATTTTCTGCAGGATTGAGGGAAAAGAAAAAGAATAGCAGAATAAATTTAAGTTCAACTGTTAAAGACAGCTTATAACTAAAAATAAATCTATTGGCTTCCCCCCCATTTTGAAATGTAAGCAATATATGCGTTTCCAGTTTCTGAACAACTGCAGTTGAGCCTTTTTTATATTAGGTATTTTTTCATATATATTCTTTAATTTTAGAGAACATTATAATTCATTTCAAACTACAAAGATACTTAATACCTGCTGTTTTTCAGTGTCTTGATTTTTATTGTTATTGCTGAACTGGAACGCTAGATAAGTGCATTCTTTGAAAGGGGCAACAAGTACTCAAGAAGCGCAGAGCTCTTGGAAAAGATTAATGGCAATTAAAAATGCAACGTGGCTTTGCTGAAATGAAAAGAACTCAAAGAAATCAGCCCCTAATATTGAATAGCTTTTACATATTAATGTACTGGCAGATAAACAAAAAGGCATGAGGTGGGTATAGCATAGGTAAGTCAGCATGCTCTTAGATGGATGTTAAATGGCTTTAGTTGCTTAAATGCATGCACCATGTACTTGTGGGAACAGAGAGAAATGGTTACATTCCATTACAAGTTCAGGTACTTCTTAATTGCATACATTTATAACCAGTGCTTAGGTTCCAGGGTAATAAGGACCTTAGAAATATTTAAGATAGATAAAATAAATCATCTACTGATGATAAAGAAATAGGAATGGAAGGGTCAGTGTCAGGAATTCTAGACTTCCAAAGGTAGGTTTTCCTACGATATTTTTAAAATCATTTAACATTTTTCTTTACATTAATTAGAATTAATTAGAACAGTGTTCATTGAAACACTCCTATTTGGTTATATATATGAATTGTCACATTCTTGTGTCAGTCTCAATTTTAGTCTAGGTTATTTTTATCAAGTAGAATACTATAGATCAGTGGTGCTCAACCTTTTGGCCTTGCAGGGCAGATGAATGGGGCAGGGCTAATCCGCAAGTCCAATTAAGCCCACACGCCAGGACTGGGCACTGGGGCCCATCACCTTCCCACTGGGATTGGTCCCCAGGGGGCCTGCTACTGCCCTGTCCAACCAGGATAGGTCTTCAGGGAGAGGCAATAGCCCCATCCCACTGGCCCAGCACCCTCCCCCTACCCCCCCACATTAGGATTGGTCCCTGGGGGTCTGGCACTTTCTCCTTCCAGCCTAGCACACTGGGGCTGGGTCCCAGCAGCCCCTCCTGCCCCCCCTCAACTGGGATTGGGCCCTGGCTCCGGACCAAGCTGTCCCCACCGCAAGATCCCAGTGGCTCTGGAGCAGCCCCCTGCCCTGCTCTGTCACGTGCCATGGTGATCCCAGCCTTGAGCCTTCACAGCACAGTTGCGGCTGGGGTCTCCATGGAGACCGGCCCCAGCCATGCGGGCAGGGGCTGCTGGGAAATGGAGTCTGGCTGCCGGCCGGATGGGCCATTTTGCCCACCCCTGGATTAAGGCTTGAATTTCAGAATGATGCATGTGCTTGGGAGCATTCAGCTATGGTGAGCCTGTGTTGTGACAGGAAAGACTCAGGGATAATTGTGTTTTTTGGTTTTTTTTTCCATTCTGCCTTCCTAAAATGAGGTGGATGTTTTATTTGGAGCGTGTCATATGCAAGGAAGTATGATACTTAGATGTCTGCCTTCAGGTAAAGGAAATATGAGTGAATTTAGAACGGTGGTTCTCAACTTTACTAGACTCAAGACATCACTCTGAAAAAGTCAGCTCTTAGCTTTCACTCATCTCTTGACTACAGAAAAATAACTTAATTTTTCTGCTGCAAAGATGTCAGAAAGACCACAAAAGGTCAGAGTGTTTTTGATGCCATTGATTCCTAGTCAAAATCTTTGGGTTTATTTTGTGAAGTGGATAGAGATGTTTGCACAGACAACAGTGCTAATATTGGGCAGCTGCAGCACCTAGGTTGAGAATCACTAGTCTAGAGTAAGGTATGCAAGATCTGGCTCTATAATTTATAATGTTTAAGCATGTAACATCCAGGGAACACCTGAAGGAAGCAGAATAGGGAAACATAATTTTTCCACTGCCAAGTTTGCTAATTGTTGTTTCCATTCCTTTAGCAATTTAAAAAATATTTTATTATTTTAATATGAAAATATTATATATACTAAGTTTTAACTGAGACCCAGATGTAATTTTGCATAACTTAAAAATCAGTGGATGTGTATGATGATTTATACCAGCCAGCAACATGGCTCAAAGCACTTTTAAAAGAGATTTCAATTTGTTATAAGCCGAGCCACGTTAATCTTAGAAATCTCATTTGTGCATCCAAATGAGTCAAATAATAAGCATGGAGCACTTTCTCCACAATATGTAACAATATAAAGTAACCAAAAAGCAACAGCTAAACACGTTTCTCTTTTGCCACCTTTTCTCTGTGATTCCTTCAGTTCTGATGATATCTTTTATAATCCTTTGATAGATCACAAAAATGCAGCCACAGTTTCTGATTAGTTAATATCACAAGTGAACATTAAGGTACAGCAAATGTGGTATGTTCGGGACATTATAAAGAAGACAACCATATGTCTGCATTTTAATGTTCTGTACTGTAGCACATTAAATACTTCCAGTCAGGCTATACCACACACAGTGATGCCAAGTCTAGAGAGTAAACCACATTTTTAAATATTTAAAGTAATATCTTTTTTGGTTACTACTCTTATAGCTCACACGCTGTATAGATATTTAAACTTGATCTTACAATTCATTTAGTGCCAACTTGATCACAGCAATACGCAAAGGTCATATATAAGCCCTGTTTAAATGTAAAGCTGTTGAGCTTTGCTTATTCTAATACAACAGGTTTCTGGTTGGGATGTTTCCTTTGATTTGGGCAACAGCAATGGTGAAATATCTATTCCATCAATCCTGAGCATTGCTTGGCTTGAATAATTGAGTGGAAATCAATAGTTAATTAAATAGTCTTTTTTTTTTATAGTGAGATCTTGTTTTCTTTATGTTTGGTCCTGAATGCAAATGAGATCTTTACTAAAGTTTGCTTTTTCCAAGTAGCCAATAAAACAAGTTTATATTTCCAATTTTCTGATGTGTTTTGTTTGTTTAAAAATATTATGAGAAAGATGCTCTGATTTTTAAGAAGGCGTCATCTGAAACTGATCTTGTGCCCACAGTTCTGTGAGCATGGATTACTGCGGGGGCATTTCACAGTACATTTGCAGCTAATTCTACTTGAGCTATAGACCAAGTGAAGTAGCTATTGTGAAACACCCTCTCTATAATTTGTCTATGCCATATCAACGATGCTGTTTTTCAAATTTGGCCTGATAGTTCTAATTACTTAAATATCGTAAAAGAATGTGTGGATACAAGTCTTCATTTTCAGTGTTTCTGTGTATTCACAGAAATGCATACAAATGCACATGAAAGTTGAAAGAGGCATAATCAAATGATTTAAGTGAAGGACTACAAGTTAGAAATGTTGGAGTTTCTATCTAACTGCTGTCACTAACTTCTGTATGAACCTGAAAAGCCATTTCACCTCTATTCCTCAGTTTCTTCTTTCATAATACATGGAAAATTTTAATAAAATTGTATTGTGTTTGTCAATCTTATTTTCTTTGTGGCGTTCTAACTAGCTCTTATACCGTTATCCATTTTACAGCCAGAAGATAGGGAAGCATGGCACCTTAGGGCATCTATACACGTGATGGAGCTCTGCTCTAACACGTGCTAATAAGCATGTGTCAGAGCAGACTTGATTAATCAAGTCTGCTGGAGTGCGCTAATTAGCGCACTCCAGCAGGTTCTGCATCATGCATATTCAGTGTCCCAGTGTTTCAAATGGCGGCTGGGGCACTTTAAAGCTTGTTGAATGAGCTTTAGTTGAAGTGCCCCCTCTGCCATTTTGAAGTGAGGGACACTGAATACACGTAACCCTGCAGGAACTTTAGTTAGAGCAGCTCTCAAAAGTTGCTCTAATTAAAGCACCTCCCCCTCCATCCCAAAGCACATGTACAGATGCCCTTAAAGACTAACTGCCTCTATACTTTAAAGTGGTGAATAACCCCTTGCTTGCACAGAAAACTTTTTAGGATTACAGACACTGTAATGTCAATAATTACAATAACGTTGCAGTTATTATTTATGCTGCTATTGCATTGAAACATGCATAACTTCCAGCTAACATGTGCAGCATGTAATACAAAACTAGATCTTTGTGTCCATATTTGAATTTTGACTCAAAGCTGATCATTTAATTAAGCTGACACAAATGCTGCAAAGATCAACTGAAGGAGGCGAGTATTTGAATTATAGTTCTGAAAATCTCTGTATATTTTAGCAGTAATGTTATATGCAGTATTTTGCAAAGATGCTTTACTCTGACTTTTGTTTTATTACAAACAAAATTGTTTGTAATAAAATTGTTTTCTTACCTTTATCATTAAAACAAGCAAACAAAAAACTGCTCTAAATGTTATAAACTGAAAAAGGCTCTAATTTTCCTCATTTCTTTTAAACAAATGTTCTGAAAAAAAGTCCTGAAGTAGTACAGTCATTTCTGCAGCCAGAAATGAGTGATATCTAACTTCTTGAAAATTTCTATGATTGGACACTGTGCACCAAAGACAAGCCTGAATAATAAATTTTACTTTCTGTCTTAGTTTTATATCTAAATATTACAACATGTACCTCAGCAACAATCTGAATATCAATTGGGCTTCTTCCTATTAGAAATTGAAAATTAAGCCAAATAAGCAGTGGATTTTTTGTAAAGTTAACAAAAGACAAAGGTGATCCCACCAAGCTTGTGTCCACTTACATTCTTACCTAAAACTGTAAGTCAGGAAACAAATAGTGGAGTAATGAGACACAATATAACTAATCTTAAAAGAGAGAGGTATGTGAGTTGAAGTCAGATGGATGGCACGGTAGAAGTGCACCTTATAGAACAAGGGGGTTCAACCCCTAGGCTATGGCTCAG